GGTGGGGTTGTTCAGTGTGGCCATATTACAGCAAGGAGAGGCAGCAGAGCAGATAGGGTACATCATTTGTGTTGGATTCCATTTTCACTTACACCTGGTTGTTCCTGAAGTCTAAATTTAAATTAGGGGAGGGTAAGTGGGCAGGAACATGCAACAGTTTATCTGCATTCTCTTCTTCTACCCCTGCTAGCTGTTTGCAGCTGATGAAAGCTGTGGTTTGCATGTGGGATAAATAGTAGGGCTGAAACAAGAACATGGTCTTTTTATCCAGTGGTGAAATTGCCTAGAGATCACTGCTGTTAGGACTCCTCTGTATGTGTGCACACATACTGTCCACAGGAAAGCTTATACCCAGAATAAAAATTTGTTGGTCTTAAAGGTGCCACTGGATTCAAACTTTGTTCTGCTGTTTCAGACCAACACAGCTGCCCACCTGAATCTACCTTGGGATTTCTGTGTCACTTTTCGATGCTGTCAAGATTTATGAAAAATGGTGCATGTGCCAAGCTGTCAGTCTTAATTATATTACCTATGATGATAGTTCCTAGTTGTTAATATTCAAATGCTGAGAAATTGGGCTTTCTTTGATATAAAATTGTCTTGTGTTGTTGCTCATTGTCAAACATATAAATTCATATTAGACTGTAATTTGAGTGTGTTTTAGTTTAGCAAAGTACAGACTTTGCCTGTGTCATTTATTGAATGAAATCATACCATCAGGACCACTGTTAATGTAGGAATATATAACATTCTGAGATGCACAGACCAATCCCAGAGGCACATGACACAACAAAATTGTTGAAGCAAGTAGGCAGGTGCAACACCTAAAAAACAGCTGAAGATCACTTCAATTTTTAGCCCACTGTGAAACTTTGCAGCTTTTTAGCCCACTGTGGAACTTTGCACTTCCTCTTATAACAATTTCACTTTTCTTACATGCCCAGGAAAATGCTGATCACCACTTTGGGGTCAGGAAGCAATATTTCTCCAGGCCAGTTTGGCTGGAGATCCTGGAGGGTTTTTTTTTTTGTCATCTTCTGGGCATAGAACAGCGGTCACTGGAAGTGTGTGGGGGGGAGGTATTTGTGAATTTCCTGCATTGTACAAGGGGTTGGACCCTGGAGGTCCCTTCCAACTCTATGATCTATAATTCTAGAAGTTGCTATTTCTCTCTTTGGGCAGTTTCTGACAAAATATATATTTTTCATAGTTCTTATAAGATTAATGAGTAATATATGTTTATTATGTTCATAGATTGAATTCATGCTTTTGTTTAATATATGAAACAAATATAATGAATTAAATTTTTTATTATATATGTTGCTGCTTTGTGAAAAAGGAATAATAAGCAATTTTTAGATTAGATATTTAAAACTTCTATGTGAAATGTACTAAAGATATTTCTGATTTTACTTTATATGCTTCTCTTTCTGAAGTAATTCTGGATTCTATGTAGATGTTATTGGAGGGGAAATCTTAAAGTAGTGGATTGCAAACCATGTTAATAGCATTTTTTTTAAAAGAACAAACCATGGATAATTTCTCCCCCTGGTTCTCCTTGGGCTTAAAAGTGCATTCATTTTCATTAACATTAGGAAGCATTTAGACACCTTTTGAAAGTAATTAAATGTCCTTAAAATAGCCTGGAAGATTTTTAACAAACCTGCTGTAATGCTACATACTGTGAAAAGAGGAGTTAAACTCCTAATGCCGTACTTAGCTTAAATCCTTGTGTATCATTCATTATTGCATTACTCTGCCCTTTCTTAGGGGGTGAAGTGTAGAACATTATTCTAATCCTGTACAGTTGTGCTAATTTTGCTTTAAACTTGAAAGTGTTAACAACAACTTGAAAATGTGACAAAGCTCAATTTCATTTCTTGTTTATTGCTTGTTTTCCTATTGGACAATGGGAAGCAGCTCTACCCTGGCAACTAAAGCTAGCTATTTGCATAACCTGCTTTGATTGGCTAGCTCACTGACTAACTCTTCCAATCATATGGTGTCGTTTTAGTGGTAGGCTATGCTAATTAGCTGCTGTTGCTGGGGTTCAGGGTGGTTTCTGTGTGCTGTACTGCTGCATTGTGTTGCCTGGTGAGAGACATTGATAAATGAGTATTTAATGATCTGCAGCACTTTCTACTGACTGCGGGCAGACACAGATTTTAGAACAGAAGTGGAAACAAGGATGTAATTTCTTGCCTACCTACAATGAAAATCTTAGTGATAGGATTTTTATGCAGAGCCAAAATGTTTACCCTTAAATGAGCACTTTGTAGGATTTGCGTGTTAGAAGTATGTGGAATTTCCCAGGGAGAATGCTGTTGTGCTTTATCTTTGCTAGTATTTATGAGTATCAGATAAAGAGAATGACTTCAGTAATCATCATTGTATCTGAAAACCTTAAAACAGTATTAAAACCTCTGGTATTTAAAGTGCTGACAATGAATCTTAAGAAATCAATATTATAGATGCAGTAAATTATCTACTTTACTACAATTCTGTTTTGCAAATTCTGTTAGCTGCTTTTTAATATGTATAATTCTCTTGGGTACTTATAACAAATGCTATTGACCTTTATGGGTGTAAGAAATGCAGGATTTGTTTCCTGACTTTAAACTTTGTTATAGCATGTTACTTCTAACTGTCAACTCATCTACTATGACCTGACCACCACACATTGGATATTCTTCTAGTCCTACCTTTCTGACTCCGGGTAGCAATTGACACTCTGCTTGCCACCTTCCAGTGCTTATAACTTTATCAGATATTTGTATAATATTTTTCATAATTTGTGAAGATTGTTGCAAGCGTTTTCTTTGTGTTTTAATAGATTCACAAAGTAATTGGATTTATGTGAGACTCAATTATTGTTGATTTAACTTTTATATGAAATAAGTAAATTTTGATTATACACAACTGTCTACTTTAATATTGTTTAGCATTATTTTGGTATTTGGTACCTTTTTGAAGTATTTTACTTATATGGATTTGGTGGTGCATGACAACCATATCTAGTCAGGTATAGCAGTAAAAAGAAGCAAATTAGTGTGATTGATTTTGGTCTCAGAAGAATAGTTACATACATAATGTAGTATATTTTAAGAGTTCTACTATATTGCTATAAGATTCAGTTTTTAATAATTATATAGTGTCAGCTATAGTCCAGGTTTGTATGCTGGTTACCTGTGATAAGTAAGAATTGCCTGTTGGCAGCTAGGCAGGAATGGGGAATATTGGTTTTTTCCCAGGCCATCAGGGTACTGCAGCAACTGGCACAAGTACATGTAGGCAGCTGAGCTAGTAAAATGTTGGTGGGCCAGTAATTTTTCAGAGTTGTCATTATCATAATCTTGAAAATATTATTTCTATTTTGTGAAATGTTTCATGTAAAGTTAACATAGTATTGCAATTACAGATGCGATACAAGCATTTGGGCATGATCTAGAGAGAACCCATCATGCTTAAGTCTCAATGCATGCAGTTTAGAGAATGTCCTATTGCTATTAATGGGTATAAAGTGGACCTAAGTTCATTTGAATTTTATTCACACAACTTTTTCAAGAATTCCCTATACTTTCCAGTGCTACAAGAAGGTTCTGGTGAAATCAGATATCATCATTAACTGTTTTTTATTCACACTGTAACGTGCACATGACTTGGGGGTAACTGCCTTGAATTTATTTGGCCAACAAAATGTAAAATGGCACTTAATCAATTTATAATTTTTAAAGGCTGAAATTTACCTGTATTGGGAAAGAAAACTTAAAATAATTAGTATTTTCTGTACAGTCAGGTATTCCAAAACTGAATTGACTCTTTATTTTGATTTGTTATCAGATTTCCCTATTAACATGGTACTTTTCTGTGAAGATCATTAAATCTCTGTTCGTACTATTCACAGAATCAATACACAGTTACCCAGTATTTTACAAATGAGAAATATTTTCATTTTCCAAATTTTCCCAGGAAACCCATATCGCTGAACTGCTGGGTTTCAAACGGAGATTTAGGCCCAAAAAAAAAAGTATGGGCAGAGAACCGGGGGGGGGGGGGCACTGAAAGTGTTTTGGCGTAAGTCCCATTTACGCCAACATAAATGACACGGTGACAGGACCCTAGTGATACTCTGCTGCACATGGGCGGTGGCAGGCCACAACAGCCCACCCATTGGCACAACTGAGGCATAGGCCCTTGCGCCGGCATGGTTGTGGGCAGTTCTGGGGATGTGGCCAGGATTAGTAGGCTCCCCGTGCCCTTTCAGCCTGGGAATGACCCCTGCCAGAGGCAGAAATTACATTTAAAAAAACACTGCATAAGGCCATAAGCGTCCATTTAACTTGAAAATAAAGTCATCCCCTGCTACTGCAGCCCCACCCATGAGGCTCAGAGGAGCTCAGGATGCCGACTTTAGGTTTGGGCAATCATCTACTTCCCCACAGTGGCCAAGCCCCCTCCCTAGCACCCAACTGTGGCTCCCCATTCTACAAAAAGTTCCACCAGGACACAGTTTGGTGTATTGCTTAGGAGCATGGACTCTGATCTGGGAGAACCAGGTTTGATTCCCTACTCCTCCACATGCAGCTGCTGGTGTGACCTTGGATCAGTCACAAGTTCTCTCAGAGCTGTTCTCTCAAGAGCAGTCCTCAAGAGAGCTCTCTCAGCCCCACCTACTTCACAGGGTCTCTGTTGTGGGGAGGGGAAGGGAAAGGGGATTGTAAGCCGCTCGGAGACTCCTTTAGGTAGTGAAGGGCGCGGTATAAATCCAATTTCCTCTTTGTCCTCCATCACCTTGCAACTCAGTAGTTAGGGCACGCAGCACAGGACCCTGTCTCAGAGCTCCCTGCTGTGTGGACTTAGAGCGAGTGGCACAATACTTTGGTGGTGGGAAAAGCACAGACAGGGCACTTGGAACTGACAACCAACAAGGGAAGCAAAAATCATACTCTGTGGCTGACCTCTTCTATTTCAGAACCCTAACAGGTACCCACCATGGGAGGCTTGACCCAAAGAGGGAATGACGCACTTACAGGTAAGCAGGGGTAAGGATCACGAGCTGGCTCCCCGCCCTTGCTTGAGGCTGGGTGCTGTGACAGCACCTCCTTGCATGCAAGTCCAGCATTGGATTCATAGGGGGTGTCAGAAGTCATGGCCTTGCAACACCATGGCCCCTGATATACCATGGGAAAAGATCCCTGGGAAGTGTTCCGGGAGATCTGGTGGGGGTGGAACTGCTCCATCTTTGCCCGGTTCCCACCCTTGGCAGAGGACAGGGCATGACTGTGGTTGGGGTGTGTGTGGCAGCTGCTCCACTGCACGTGGTGAACCAGCTTGGCAAATGTCCCTTTAACTTATTTCCTTGCAGTATCAGAGGCATGAGCTGCAGCTGCTGCAGCGGTTGGATTGCAAGCAGTCTGGAAGCACTTCAACACAGAACGGGTGAGTGTGAGTTGTCTGGTTCCATCATGCACCTCAAAGGTGTGTGTGTGGTGAGCCCCCTTCCATGGAACTGCATTTGCAGAATCTGCCCGAACAAGACATCCATGGCTGAGGCTGGGATGGCACTTGCGCCTGGTTGCCATGGCCCTGTGTTTTTTTCTTGCAGGTGGAGATTCAACAGAGACTTGTGGGTGTGGCAAATTCTGCCCCCTCCCACTCTGCACAGTCCGTGTTTCAGCCCTCCTCTTGAAGTGCAGCATCGTGCCCAGCAAGCCCTTCCAAGTTCTCCCTATGATACCATCCACCTAGGCGTGTGCCATGCCAGGAATCCTCCATCCCCAGGATGGAAGTGGACAGAGTCCTCACCTGTTGCCATGGATTCCAGTACAATAAAGTCAGTGTTGTGTCACTAGTGTGTGTCTACTGCTTGGGTTCTGCTACATGACTGAAGCTCCATACCCCTTCCTGCTGAACTCCCTCCCCACCCCATCTGCCACCCTTCCTGTGGGCTTCCCGAGGACATGTCTTAAAGGGAGGGCTTTTGGGTGTTGTGGGTGGCTGTGGAGGGTTGCGCAGGTCACACTGGTCGTAGTGATATGCCATACTCAGCGGGGACTCAGACGGACAGACAGGTCCCTTTGCTCACCTTGCAGGCTTCTGAGAAGAGAGGGGCCAAGAGGGTGGTTTGAGCGTGAGGCTGGACCTGGGAGACCCAGATTCCGTTCCCAGGATGTACTTAAAGGAATGACACGATAGCCCATTGGAAACACTGGGAGGGAATTGAAGGCCCATTGGAGATAATGGGAGCTAGGAATGCCAGTTGACTTGCGTGGGCTCCCTTTTAATCCATCACAGCAGAAAAAAATACAGCATGGATTTCCCATTATGGTCTCTGGACCCAGATAGACTGCTCTGGGACTGGAATGACAGTCCCTAGAGTGGAATCCCTAGTAATACAATCTGTGCTCTGGGACTGGAATTAGAGGTTGCAGAGTGGAAAGATAGCCCTTGGGGGTAGCAGAAGGGTCTCTGGTACCCAGGGGGGGAAGGCATTTGTGTAAGTAGCACTGAGGGGGCAGGGGATCACGGGGGTTCCCTGAGCCAATAAAGGGAGCCACTGCAGCTGGCAGACTCAAAGTATTGAGGGTGGGTGGGGTTTGGGGGGCTTGGCCATGGGACATGCTGCCATGCAGGAACAACTTGTGCATGTCATCACTGTGGGTCTCTGTTAATTGTAAGACTATAAAAATACCATCAACTTAATCTTTCAAAATTTCACTGAAGTCAACATCTATTACAATTTCATTTTCAGGAGAAGCTTTGTGAAGCACTGATGCTGAGCCTGTGTTTTTTTTTATATTGCGCTATAGGCCCTTCCTGTATATCACAGGCCCAATCCTGTTTAGTGAGAAGCAAATTTCACTGTGTTTTTTTAGTATATCATTGTCAGTATTTGGATAGGTAAGCCAGTTTTAAAGTAAAGCTTTCAGCATTAAATGATAAAAATCAAAAACTCAAACCAGATCTGCATCATGATATAATATGACAAAGATAGTACAGTTAGACCCCACAGAAATAGTTCACATAGTCATATACTGGATAAAGCACAAGAGGGAAAAAGTAAAGCACGCACACAGAGTCTCTGTTGACTTGCATTTTTTGGGGGGAGATAAAAATTGCAGTTAGGTGTTACTGGACTCTTACCTAGCTCTTTTTCTGCAAACCAATATAGATACCCTCTGAAATGGTCCTGAATAAAACCATCTTCAGCTGCCTTCTAAAGATGAAAAGTGAGGGGGCCAGCCGTACCTCTCTAGGATTATCCTGTAATTGAGGGTCTGTCACCAAAAAGGCCCTCTCTCATGTACCCACCATATGAGCTTTGTTGGCCAATAGGACACTGAGGAGCACATTTCCCTTTAAGCTAAACTAGGGGACACTGGCGCACATTTCAGAGGCCAGCTCAGAGGATTTCTGCTTCAGCTCACAACCAAGCTTGCATAGGACAATATGGAAGATGGGGGCACCTCCTTCTGGGGCCTATAGAGTAGACCCCCCCGGTCCATTATTTTTGAAACTTGGGGGGAGGGGTTGAGGAGAGGCACCAGAAACTATGCTGCAAATTTGGTGCCTCTACCTCAAAAAACAGCCTCCCTCAGAGCCCCAGATACCCCTGGATTGAGTCGCTATTATAACTTTTGGCTATAATACCCCTATATAGCCTATGGCTATAATACCCTTGGATCAAATCTCCCTAATACCCTATGGCTATAATACCCCTGGATTGAGTCTCTGTTATAGCCTTTTCAGTATGATTTGTAAGCTGCCTTGAGTCACAGGGAAAAGTGGGATATAAATATCTGAATAAATAAGCAGTTTGGGCAGGTTGATGACATTTAAGCAACTTCCTGTTAGGTTAAGCCAGCGTTCTGACAGTGATTGTTCCACCTCTGTTATACTTGACCTATAATGTTGGTTGTCATATTTCACTAAAAAACCCGAAGTAGGCTACAAGTCTCCCCCCCCTCCCCCATGCTGGTATGTTTCCTAAGGGTCAGCACAGGGTGATGGTCCAAGGCCAGGTCTACCAATATAGTGGACTGGGGTGGGTAGAACTGTTCTCTGGAGGTCAGGTCTACCAATATAGTGGAAAGGGGTGGGCACTGGGCAGACCTGTTATCTGGAGGCCTGGCCTACCCCTGTAGAGGACAACATTTTGTGTAATGAAATTTGACTTGATTATGTTTTCTCTTATAATATTTAAATTATTCTTAAAATATAGTGTAAATATAGTTTAAAGAATTCATTATGAGATTTTTACAAGGTTATGGAAATAACCTAAAAAAATAATTTATGCAATAGTCAAACTTTAATGCTACTTTAATGCTACTAGCTTTTTTCGCTCTCGAGGTAGAATTTCTGGTCACAACACTGTGGAACTTAGAGGAAACATTGCTGAGGAGGCCTTCTCCCTGTGATCTTAATTCCTGAACTGGAATGTTGGGAGAAGGTGTTCCATCAGATACCCCACTCCCAAGCCATGTAGGGCTTTAAAGGACAAAACCAGTACTTTGTATTGGGCTCAGAGTGAATGGGTAGCCAGTGTAATTACTCTAATAGGTGGGTCACATGTTCCCGGTAGCCCAACAAGCAATCTAGCTGCTGCATTCTCCACTAGCTGCAGTTTCTGAACTCTCCCCAAGGGGAGCCACAAGTAGAGCGTGTTGCAGTAATCCAGTCTGGATAGTCCAGTCAAAGTTTGCATCTGTTTTCCCCATCTGGTTTTCTCACATGGTTGCAGCCCATCCTGTGGGACTGAGAGTAATTTATATTTTGCTTGCATATACATGTATGAAGTGCCATTTGTCATATCTGAATCCTTTTGGCAAAGACTGAAAAACATCTTGCTAGATTTTGGTGACTTGGTGGGGTAGAGGCTCTGAGATTATGCAGGCGGTGAGGAATCCACCTGAAACCAGTGTTCCCTCTAAGCTGAGTTAGTGTGAGCTAGCTCACAGTTTTTTAGCCTCCAGCTCACAGATTTTTGTCTTACCTCAGAAAGGATGGCTCCAGAGCAAACTAATTTATGCAGTAGCCAAATTGGTCACTCACAACTTTTAATGCCAGTAGCTCACAAAGTATATTGTTTGCTCACAATCCTCCACAGCTTAGAAGGGAGCATTGCCTAAAACTATAACTAATAAATGCATTTGGCCACAATATGCAGTGCTAGAATTGTGCTTAGTGCAACTGTATCATTAGTTGTAGAGGTAGCTGACATGTTTATATTGGTGGACAGGCTCCATCAACTTCAGTAGTATCCAGTCCACACAAGTATGTTGCATAACATTGTTGATGTAAATTGTACCAAACAGAAGTTGGGGTGTGTCAGCCACACTGCATTATGCTGTTACATTAAATAGTGCTATGGTTGGAACTACAACTTGGGCTGCAATATTTAGGTGTACAGCAATTCATAGATGAATGAGGACATGGTTTCAAAACTTCTACTTTTGAGTAAGATTAAACAGTAGTACCGTTTATAATGTGTGTCCTCATTCTCCCTTTCTCTCAAAGGGGTTGTTAATGTCTCATCTAATTACAGAATCAACTAATTGGAGTAATAGAGATACTTGTGTTTCTCTTTGCCTCTAGTTTAAATGGACAAATATTGCTAACAGAAGTTGCTTAGGGACTTCCACCCTTGCACTTTCCCTTCAACCTTCCTTTAGCTATACAGTTATTTAAAAGGTGTAAATTAAGATAATGCAAACAATTTAATGGATCCTCATAGATTGTGTAAGAATATAAGAAAAGCCCTGCTAGTGCAGACTAAAGTTTGATCAAGATCAGCATCCTGTTTCACATGGTGGCCAAGCAGAAATACACAAAAGGATCATAAGCAGGATTTGAAGCCAACAGCCCTCTCCTGCTGTTGTCTCCTTCCCCCAACAACTCCTCTTTTGTTGTCCACTGGCAGTGGGTATTCAGAGGTTACTTCTTTATGGTCTTTTCATCAACTTTGATTAAGCAGTTTCTAGAGCTAACTTTTAGGTGCAGAAGGACTTGCCCCTTGAGTTTATTATATCTTTGAATATGTCCAACTACCTGACACAGACAGGATGTAGTGATTATGGGAGATTTCAACTATCCAGATATTTGCTGGAAATCTAACTCTGCTAGACATGGGGCATTCCGCAGATTCTTGAATATTCTTGCGGACAACTTCATCTCTCAGAAGGTGGAGGTGGGAACCAGAGAATCTGCTATCCTGGATTTAATCCTGACTAACAGGGAAGAACTGGTTGATGAAGTGAACATTGTGGAATCCTTGGGGAATAGTGACCATGTCTGCTTGGAATTTGACATAGAAAAGGATGTGAACCCAAGACATAGTAGGACTCGTATCCTGGACTTCAAGAAAGCTGATTTCAAAAAACTCAGAGAAATATTAGGTAGGATCCCATGGCTGGAAATGCTGAGGGGGAAATCTGCACAGGAAGGGTGGGAGATGCTGAAAAATGAACTGCCCCGGTGAGAAAGAAAGGTGGGAGACGGGTAATGAAGCCGAGGTGGCTGAACAAGGAACTCTCTGAAGAGCTGAGACTAAAAAGGGAAATGTACAGGAAATGGAAGGAGGGACAGATTACTGAGGGTGAGTAGAAGAAGCAGGCTCGAATCTGTAGGGATGGTGTCAGAAAGGCTAAAGCACAGATGGAGCTGAGGCTTGCAAGGGATGCTAAAAATAAAGGTTTCTATGCCTATGTTTGGAGCAAAAAGAGGAACAGGGAT